CTACTTCGACATGAGCTGGTCTACATACTTGAGCATAGCCAATTTAAATTAACCTTAGCGATGCATAGCTACAGTTCCTACCTACACAATAAAATATCTCTCTAAGTTAGAAGGATGACTTTATTTTATAACCTCAAACAGAAGCCGTTTGTTCTACAGTATTATCCCACTTAACGCTTAACACTTGTCTATTTCGTTTTAACCTTTATATACAGTCTATGGTTTTAACTTGGAGACTACGATTAGCATCGTTAGCACCGATGTAGCTACCACGCTAACCCAAGCCTTAACATTAATTATGTAGCTGATTCAAATCATAAACACATAAATAAGTACTCGAATTTCACTTACCGCAAAAACCGCATTCATGCACCGTCTGTTTCAACCGCAGAGCGAGTCACAATAGTCCGATATATAAGCATGAAGAACAAACAACCAAGGCCGGCTTCAAGTTGTGTTCCCTGGATGAACTGAGCAGGCAGAGTCCCTGTAGCTAGCTTCACGGAGCAGCTAACAGCAGCAGTCACTTTACAGAGCCGTCACTCAATGTGACCACGCCCTAATTTATGCATAACTTTAAGGCTTAATATTAATTAAAAAGATGAGTTGAGAAAAAATGCACCCCCCACACAGTAGTCATGAAGGGGGAATCTAACTATACAGAGAATATGGTTTTTTGAACCACGATGTAAACATGTTTATTTCTGCTGTAAAGTTGGGCATTTTAACATGGGGGTCTCTGGAAATTGCTCCCTTCTGCAGACTGCTCCTACTGGCCACTAGATGAACTGCAGTGTGTGCCACTTCCGTATTGGCGTCCCGGCTCTTCCCCAGAGTTTGCCGCTTGGTGTGAGCGCACGCTCCACCATAATGCTATTTTCACCATTGCGGAAAACAGCATTAATCGGAGCTCTTACAGGCGTAGTGTGTTTTACTAAGGCCCCTAAACGCACCGCCACACGCCTCTTTACAAGTGCGGGCGTTGCTATAATGCAGCCCCTACCACTATGGCAGGGGTGGCCAACCAGTCAGAGGTTAAGAGCCACATTTTTTCTATGTTACTGCAAAGAGCCACATCAAACACACAGTCACTGATACTGCTTGTTTCAGTTTTTTGTTTTCTGGAGACAAGATTTCAACCACGTCACTGATGCATTTTTGTGGCATTGGGATATATATTTTTTAAATCCTCTGGAGCAGAGAGAGGAGCTGTGGATTATTGTTATTGATTAATGCATCAGTGTTTCTTAGTGTCAAAAACACTAAACTCACAACTTAAAATGAAAGCGTTTAGTTTATTTAATAAAAGAGCACATGTTCAATGTGAAAAGTGACAGTAGTTATAGATTATTTGCAATTTGGTGCTATATATATTTTAAAAAAAAATTATATATATATTTTTTTTAAACACCTTGAATTTCAGGGGGGGTGTGGGGCTCCGTTTGCGGGGCGCAGCGCCCCTCCAAGACAATGGTAGGGGAAACACTGGATAATGTTTAATCAACGATAGGTTTCCCCCCCTCAAAGGTGATTGGTTCACTGCATCGCAGGTATTATTGTGATTGGCTCTTGGGCCACATCAAAATTATACGCGCTGTCATCCTCTCATACTGACACCACACACAACATACATAACACGGGACGAAAGTAACGGAGTGATTTTATCCGAGCCCAAACAACTTTGACCGGCCAAATTACGTCAGAATTATCAGCATTCAATACTTAACAGACCTACTAAATATCAGGTTTAACTGTCAGGAGTAGCTAGTGTTGTCACGATACCAACATTTTGGTTTCGATACCAAGTCAAGAATTGCGATTCCGATTATTTTTCGATATTTTCTTAAAAAAAAGGGAAACGGTCTTAAATGTAATTATTGTGCTTTATTTCACACCAGAACCATAACACAAACTTTTAAACAATGAGAACAATAAATAAAATAAATGACAAGAATTCGTATTAAATAAAATTAATAAATGTCTTACAGACAGGCCTCGTGGTGTCCGTAGGCTTGCCCTCACTGTCAGAGATATAGCTAAAATACTTCCAAATGTCGCTTCTGGCGTCTTTTTTGTCAACAAGCCGAGGCGCAGCGGCAGTTGCACTCCCACTTGCAGCCATGCTTCTCGTTTTCTCACATGCTCTGGCAGCTAGCGCGTGCACGAGAGAGGGGAAGCACTTAGAGCGTGCTTGAGAGGGGAGGGAATTAGAGCGTGCTTGAGAGGGGCGGGACTGCAGGCACGGCTGCAGTGCAGGGAGTGGAAGCAGAGCGCTGAACACACACGGCTCTTATTAAAACGGCGCTTTCTCACCGGAGTACTTTTCCCCGTCATTCTTAAAGTACCGATACTAATGAAACGGAGGAATCGTAACGTTTTTAACGGCAGGGTATCGTGGTACCTTTCAAGTATCGGTACACCGTGCAACACTAGTCAGGAGTCAGTGTCTCTCCCCCAAACTCACACATATAAAATTCGATATGAACTGAAGAGCCGCATGAAACTAGGCAAAGAGCCGCATGCGGCTCGAGAGCCGCGGGTTGGCCACCCCTGCACTATGGTAAACAGCATTATTTGGAGTCTTAGTTTCAGGCATAGAGTGTTTTCTAACAGAAATACGTCGGCCATAATGTCCCTGTACCCGCATCGGACTATAATAGCACTGCCCGCGGTTTATTACTCCCATCTGCGCCCTCCCACTAGCCTCCTCCCTAACAGGAGCTACAGCTGGGGCGGCGAGTGGGGAATTTGTACAGTCATCAACATGTGTAAGTGTATTGTGGTTAGGACACTCAGACTTGGATACAGATCAACACCATCTTTATTTGTAAAGGTTTTAACGGGGATCTGGGCATTAAATAGGGAGGAGGCGGGATTCGCCCTCGCGTCCCCGTTAGAGAGAATCTCTCCCGCCACCGAGGCGCTACCTGCCCCCGCTAGTCAACTCCGGGAAGATGGAGCTCCCCACCCGGGCGCTCTCTGCTGCTGCGGAGCCTGCCTCGGTCGGGCAGCCCTTCCCCGTGACTGCCGGTACGCCGGTTCCACGGGGCGGGCCGTAGAAATGGAGGGCGCAGTGCAGTGGTGTAGTGGGCGTTGGACGCGGGGGTACGCCGTACCCCTACTTATTTGGAGCATGATCTTTTTTTTAAGTCTAATAAATATAAAATCATTGCCAGTGTTATCAGTTGCAAGTGTGTATTTGTTGTAATAATGACGAAAACATAATACATTTCACAATAATTATAATAAAAAATAAAAACGATTTCCTTAAAAAAGTATGATTCATCATCACGCTCGTGACCGCCGGTTTTGCGGCAGCTCTTTCCCTCAAGAATACTAACGAAACAGCTCTATAATGGCAGGCTAACATGTTTTACTTGACTTATTTTCTAAAAAGAAAATAATTCACAAGAAGAAAGAGGCTAGCAGCACCGAAGCTACAAGTGAAGCTGCTAGTAATACATCATCAGAAGAGCCGCCTAAAGACGTGGATAATGCTAGCTAACGTGCACGTTAGCTGAGCTAGCAACGTTCCCCTGGCTAGCTCAAGCTCACCTTTCCCAGAGGTATGCACTCACAGAAATGAATCATGGTAGAGTTTATTTTTAAGCATATAAATCTATTTGATTTTATTTAAATACTCATATTTTTTAAAATGTATTTAAATTAATTATAATCTGTATAATTCTGTAAATTCTAAAATATATTAAATGTAATTACTTAAAGGTCAAATGTCATGGCCATTTCCACTGATCATAATTCCATTGTTGATGTCTACTAGAATAGATTTATATTGTGCAATTTTCCAAACTCACATTGTTTCGCATACAGCATCTCTGTAAACTACGTGAATTCACTCTCTCCACGAAACGGCTCGTTGCAGCTCTTGCCCCCCCCCCTCCCTGTGAGCCCAGTGTGCTCCGATTGGTCAGCTCGGCCCCTCTGTTCTGATTTGTCAACCACCAGAGAGGCTCTGCCCCTGTTGACATCTGCCGTAAAGTGGTTTAGCGGGTACTTAGCCCATGGTGTTTTTTCGGCTCTGAGCGGAGTAGCAGAAATGAAATGGCGTCAGTAAAGCCATATATGTACGAACCGGAGTCCGACCCTGAGAGTGAAACGGACCGTGATGGACCTGATCCACCGTCCCAAACAAGAATACAGCAGGCGGTTTCACAGTGGAACATTTTAATTTTGTATAGCTGCTACATTTCAGATGTAATGTTAGAACTTCATCATTTATCTACATCACAGTAACGTGTGTCCGCTGACTAACCAAACTTTCCAACTGTTGTTATTTAGGTGCACGTGTGGAAACTGCGCAGTAATGCCTACCGAGGTGGAAAACCTCTGTTGCAGGGAGATTAGAAAGGTGACAGTGTAGTGCTGATGAAAGGGAGTCGGGGGCGGTGAGTTTAGAATCAGGTAAAATACATGTCTGCTCTGTCTGACAAGCTAGGAATGACAAGCTAAACCTAAGAGCACACACTAAAGGGTCCGTGTGGCAACACTATACCAAAGGTGAATTATGGTCAAAACAGGGTGTCACCACAACAAATACAAAAACACCAACAGTAGCACACAACATTATATACACCATACATACTTGTCAAGTCAATAGACTATATGCCCTTTTATTTATTCTATAGTAATTTAATGTTTATTTTGTAAACCTCGCCATAGTTGGATTTAATTGCTAAACGTATTATGTTACAAATATCTTATCCTCCTATAGGTTTTAACACGAATGCACCAAGTCCCAGAACCCATTGTGTGCATGGTTGAACCCCCCCGGACTAGAACCAAACTGCCTCAATCCCTACACCCTGCAGAACCTCCACAATATTTATCGGTTTGATTATGGACCTTTGAGGCGTAGAACTGAAGAAGAGTAAGTTATTTTTAGCTATAATAAACTACTACTGTATTAGATGACAAATCAAATAATGGTTTGCTATATATGAATGATCTAGGAGCAAATAATTCAGGGAAGAAAGGCTATCAAGTAGTTCCATCAAACTTTATTTTGATAAATGTACAAATTGATCATGTGTATATATACACTGTATGAGATAAGATGGACCTTTATTAATCCCTGTGGGGAAATTCAGTTGTTCAAGCAGCCAGAGGGTAAGGGTGAAAAACAGGACAGCACATATATGTTATCATCCATTCCTCCTCTTATAGGCGTTTTAGGCATCTGGCCTATCGCAGCTTCGTAAGCTGGTGCTGGGGCTTTTTGGGACGAGGAATCAGAGTGGTCATCCCGTCGTGTGTGGTCCGCCGGATACGCCAGGAGTTCCCTGATCTGGCTGGACAGTACGTGGGCTTCCGACCGCCCCTAGACTAAAACGTGAGACATGGCGGGCTACCACTTCCTCCTTTGAGGGCCTGTCAAATTGAGTGGACAGGTCCTTTGGGATGTTGATTTTATTCATCTCCTCCACAAAGGGTGTTGGGTCCTCAAAGACTTCTTCAAACACCAGCCTCATCAGCTCACCCACGTACACTGAAAAATATAACATTCATATAATAATTAATCATTTGTATACACTTATTCATTTCTCTTTTATTCTTTCATTGTACAGATAATTCAGTGTGGCTATCTCTCTAGCCCTCCATCGTCTGTTGCAGTCATCCCGGTTCTCCATAGATCTGGCCAGTTCTTTGGTACTTTGTGCTATAATAATTTAAAATGTAATTTATGTTTGTAATAAAAAAAATGTTGACAACTTACTGTATGTAGGCTCCTTCTTTACAGGCTTTGCTGTGCATTCTCCCCTCCTTGATTTTGGATAGGCCAATCTGTACACAGGTAGTCCTGCAGCTGTTGTGTCTTGCTCACGGTCAGCATTCTCGTTGTGATGCATGGCTGCTAGACACAACCAATAGAATAGCAAAATAAAATAAGACTTTGTGTTATGACAGAATAAAACCCTCATGCCACTAAACAGTCACTGTGTTATAAGATGCTACTGAATAAATTATACAGTGTATTACCTGCACAACATTCCCATGAAGGGAAAAACCACATTGTTGGGGGCAAAACGCAGAATCAAGCTGTGGAACGACTCCAGGGATGAGGTCTGGTAGTGATGGCTTAGCTTTTGCACATCTTTGAGAACTCTCTTGTTGTTGAGTATTTTCTCAACTTTGTGGAGTGTTATTGAATCTTGAGTACAATTACAAAAACATCAACATTACAACTTATCTTACCTATCTTATGAAGGAAGTGAATTGTTTTTAAATGTTTCACTTGTTATTTGCAATTTTTTTATAAATATTGAACTTACCAGGTTTTAGCCATTTATTTTCATCCGTTGTGGCTCTTTCAGGATGTTCACACTTGGGGAATAAGGGGTCGTCATGCACGTGGATGTTTTGTAGGTGGTTGACCACTGACGTCCACCTTGCCACCTTATCCGGCCCCGAGGTTGTACTCGTCGCACTCCAGTACACATGGTTTTTTATGCTCTGCAGCCACCTCTTCAACAACTTGCAGTCCTTGTTCTGTGAAAGTTTCACAAGTTTCTTGGACAAACCTGATAAAAAGAAAACGCATGTGAATATTCAAGCAATAGTGTGTAAATGATGTGCTGTGATGGACAATATTCAAGGGTGTGGTGGAAAGAGGGTGGTGGGCAGACAGAAGGGTAAGCACAGCATGTTAATTACAACCATAACATCCATATGATAATTGCATGACAATGGTCAGGGCGTCACCCTTATGTCTGAAAACATTTTATAGCCAGGAAACACCCATACATATTCATATATGCATCACTGTAAATTCCCATCCTAAAGAGTACTCCCATTATCCTAAGATTAGTGAGTGAAATGTAATTTACAATGACAAAAGGTGCTGTGATCAAGTGGTCTGCCAGACAGTTTACAATAACAGAGGAAAGACCAGATTAGAGGGACATATAGGGGGATATCATTCATGTATCTATCCAGACATGTCATGTCTGCTGCTAAAAAGGACAGTGTCTCTGATTTGGTATTCTTTCATTACAACATATAGGGATAAATACCTTTTTCAAAGTGCCAGACATCATAGAATTGTTCTATGTTGCGTTCCCTCAGAAACTTCTGGATCTGTGGATGACGGTCAGTCACAATGTACTCAACCGCCAAATCGTTTGACTCCAGATGATCTAGGCATCTTTTGAGTCCCTCCTTTTCCATGTGGTAACTACCACCTACTTCATTGCTCTGTTGGTGAATAAGAAATAGGGCATAAATACACTGAAGCATGCATCAACAGCCAGCACGCCTAAAATTACACCCAGAAAGAGAATCCCACCTGAACAAGCTGGAAGTCCACAATGGTGTTGCTTCCCAGGTGCATTAGTGTGTAGCTCCCAAACTTAGCTGAGTGGCCTGAAGAAAATATAATACAGGAGGTTTCAAGACTTTTCAACAGAATTTCAATGGATAAGTTCGATGAATTGTAATATACACCAGTAACTCTGGCACTAGACTGTCTTGTCTGTTTCTGCTTACCTGGAGAGTCTGCTCTCATATCTCCTGCAACTGTGACCTTTCCCCCCTGGTGGTGTAGTTGCTGGAAAATCTTCAGCTGATCAGTTTTCCACTTGTGGATAATAGCAGGCTCCAGATAATGCCTAGCATGCCTCCTGAAGGTCTCATACTGGAAGATCTCCAGCTGCATGGCTCTGCATATCTATGAATAAATAGAAAAACAGGACAAGTATTTGAAAAAGTCCACTTCTGTCATTTTTCATATGCGTAAGATGGTAAAATACCTTTTTTAGTTGGAAGAAGGAAGCACCAGTGAAGTATGTAGCAGCAGATAATTGTAAGTTGCCAACCGGGGTACTTCCAATGATGGGCTGGCTCTCCCATTGTCTGAAGTAAGTGCAGTTTGGACAACGCTGTTTGAACGCCACAAAAGTCCCATTTTTTCGTTTTTGGACATCACAGTCTGTCTTACAAAACGGACATTTTTCAAACAGCTGTCCGAAGCAGCTTTCAAACACAATGTACTTTGCGTCACTGTGCGTGGATCGTGTCTGAAGTCTAATGTAACAAAACAAAATTAACAATACATGTTAGATGTCAACTCTGAACAACAGTAATAGTAATGTGTACCAAATATACCAAACTTACGATACGTCAGATTCTTCTACAGTATCATCAGGGTGGTAACTCGAATCCAGAGTCTCTTCAAATTCAATCGAAGTCTCTCCTTGTTCCTGCTCCAACTCTAGTCGAGGTCTCTTGCTAGGTCCCAATCCTGGGCCCTTTATTGGTGTAGAGGACAAGGGGATTTCTGTGTCGGTGGAAGTTTTAGTGCCAACACTTTTGAAAGACACCGTGGCCTGGATGCCTGTTAATAAAAAGGGAAAAGTGCATAAATACTATGTACATTAGATAAGACACTAATACATTGTAAAAGGCCAACAACTTGTGTACATCTGACAGATTAATTCATGAAAAATGTACAAACTACAAACAGCACTGTATTTATTGTAGTCAACATAACAGTATTTCTGTGATATACAATAATATCAAATAAGGTTTTATTTATAGAGCACATTTGAAAACGATTTTTGGTCGAGCCCAAGTGCTGTACATGTAATAAAAGCACAATTAAGGTAATGTATCTGTGATTTGTCAGTGTTATAGTCTACCTTTGCTTCTCACATGTGCCGATTTCAGTGTTCCCCGGGCCAACTGTGTAGCAACAGAAATGGCGGACACTTTACATTCCACTGTCTGTGTTCCCACAGACCGTGTCTTACACCCTCTGAGTTCCCACACAAACAGTCTGTGGACGGTCTGTTTGACATCCGACTGTACTGGAGCGGTGGGTATTGTGTTCCTTCTGTGATGTACTCTAAGAAAGATACACATAGTATTCATACAATTAATTTTGTATCCGAGGAAAACAGTCAATTTCATAAAAGCAACACTTTTACAATTACAATGTTCTACAGATAGTCTGCTACGTTCGGTCATTCATTGTAGCTGGCATGAAAACAATGTTTTTCATAACATCTCTAGGTTAGAGCTTCTAGCTTAGCTTATTAATGGTAGCTCGGTAGAATACACGAACGGCAACTGTAATTACTGACCGTACGGTTAAATCACCCGGAGTATACTGTCTATGAGTATTTCGTGTGTGTTTGCAGACATTCTCCTGCTATGAGATACATGTAAGGCCATGTGCTAACATCGGTGTTGAGGTCTGGGAATGCTAGGTAGCCCTTGTGTTTACCTCGGTAGCATAGCATAGCATTTACACAGTCGTGGTAGATACATTGTTTGTTTTAAACAGAATAAATACACAAACCACAATGAATACTTACAGGTTGTGTACTGTTAGAAATTAAAATCAATGTTTTGATGGCATAATGTACCTTAAATGTACCTTTAGTTTAAATGCTGTTTTATACTGAAAAACCAGAAGTTCTTGTGCACAACCAGTTAGACTTTTATTCTGAAAATCCTTCACCTCCGGTTAGCATTTAGCATGAGGCTAATATACCATTTCCTATAGAGGTGAATTTAGCAGCGATATGATGTTGCACACCGAAACCTACTGATTTCAACACTACAACTATAGACGTCGAGATATTATTATTGTTGGATATTAAATGAAGGTACAGTTTATTTGAGTACGTTATCGTTTACAGATGTGGGTAGCATGTCACAACATTCGGAACGACCGGAAATCAAATTGCTGTGAAGGATTTCCTGTATTTTTTGGAGTATTGATTACAGCGTTTAGAATGTGTTAAATGAAAAGTCATGAAATAGTTAAGGAGGAGAAAAGGCGTGTTTAGATATATATTGAATGTACAATGTCTGTATCCTGTGATATGCGTAACAACGGACATTAAATACGCGGAGAGCCGGCCCCCAGGGAGGAGCCAGGAGAGGCTATATAAACAATGAAACCTGAGGGGTTCGGCCTCTTTTCTCTGCTAACAAGGGCCAGATGCACAGCTGTATTTCTGTTGGACCATATCCTGTTTGTGACTTTACCACGCTTTTTATTAATTAAAGTACCAATTTGAAAACATCTCAGAGACTCCATTTAGTCTCCTTTTTAAGCTTCTCTTTCCTGGACGCGAGAATAACCATCACAGTTAACAATTGGAATGACCCCAACGTGATTCTCGTTGAACCGGAGAGACTACACAGCCGGCTGTTGCCCGGAGCCGCTGGCAAACCCGTTCGACACACAGAGAGCTCAAACTACGGTAAAGAAAAAGCCTGTTACGTCAAAATTCTTCAATAGTTTATGCAGGACAATCTTAGGACTGTGTGTTGGACGGCTGCTTCCGGTTCCTGAAAATAGCTGGGAAATTAATGTTAAAACAACCAAATTTATAACAATAACAATCATATAACACGTGGCGTTGCATTTTCACAAGCAGGGTGAGTTCAAATTACTTATTTTTCTTATATTTAACCCTGCATCCTATTCGTTTGTCTGTTATTACATGTCGGCGAGGCTAATCATTTCAATTGTTTCTTGTTACGTCTCAATTTAAACGTGAATGGTTTTAGGCCATTAATCAGTGGGGACTGGTTGAGACAAGAACAAAGTGGAGTGAGTGTTTGTGATTTTCTTATTAAAAAAAGTCCTTTTCGAGGAAAAGGCCTGAAAAGTTTGAAGCTTTCAGTGGACAAAACATCACGGAGTGAGTGTTTGTGTTAAGGACAGTGTGAGGCTGTTTTTCTTTTTAAAAGTTCTTTGTGTGATGGGGAAAATCATTTCAAAGTGTTTCTTGTTATGTTTTAATTTAACGTGAATGGTTCTAGGCCATTAAACAGTGGGGACTGTTTGAGACAAGAACACAGTTGAGTGAGTGTTTTAATTACAGCAAGAGGCCTTTCTTATTAAAAAAGTCCTATTTGAGGAAAAGGCCTGAAAAGTTTGAAGCTTTCAGTGGTTGTTTTTCTGTTTTCAAACAGACATTGCGCGTGGATTACGATGAGGAGTGCGACATTCGTGCGTTAGATAGACGATATTCTTCTGATAGTGTTTGCTTAGCGTCTTACTTGGTCCCATGATAGCGTGTTTAAACAGAGGAGATAACCATACTGGCTCTTAAAGTCAAAACATTACGTACACAGGTTGAAGGCTGTGACGTAAGGGTATGAGGCCCATTTATAATTGTAAATTACATAGAAATGTTATTTTAAACTGCAGTGTTGTTTTGTGTTGAATTTTCTAGAATTAAAAGAACACCCTCATTATTTCAACTCCGCTCTGAGAGCCACGAGGTGTTTTCAAATCCCTTTGTTCTTCAGGTCAAAGGTTTGAAAATCAGTTGCCATCTTGTCTTGTCCTCGTGTTTACAATGAGCAATGGCAGTCGCCATTTCGTGAAATGCTAATTTGAAAGTACTCAGTCCTACTCACATGAGGCTAGGCACTCCATCTTGAGAAGGATAAATCATATTTCTTTGCAGAGTTGGAACTATAAAATAGACAGGTTATTTTACCGTGGGAAGTTTGGTATTTGTAGGGATCTGATTTTAGAAGTTTCTTTTCTGCTTGCAAGTGTAAATTGAAGTTTTTTTTAAAATATTCCAGTTTGCAAATGTGTTTTGGCGTTTATGTGCTGTGTTCTTTTACCATAGTGTAGTGTTCTTACCTAGTGTAATTCTCTTTCCATTTTTAAGAAGAAAAATAAGCTTTTCTTGTTAAATAGAGGTTAGTTTTGCAACAGTAATCCCTAGTGGATTAAGCTGGAAATTACAATAGCGCACTCTGCTGGAAGTACAGAATTATTACATAGAGGTAACACTCAATAGAAGTTTAATTTGAAGTGTTATAAATAAACACATGCTTGATCGCCAGGATAGAATTGCAAGTGGTTTCTAATTATAAGATAGGAAACTTTAAACAATACTTTTTCAAATAAGCAAACAAATGTATTGAAGCTAACACAAGTTAGGACATTTACATAATTTCATACACTTTGGTATGCACTGTACACAGTAGATTTAGATTTTCACCAGATTTCTAATTTTCATAATTTTCAAAGTCAAAACCATACACTATACCATTTTTATTTTAGCATTTCAGATTTTAAAATTTGCATAATTTGTATCTTTTAATTAACTTTATTATTTAAAAAAATCATAATATTCATTCGAATAGGAAGAGAGCATGTCACCAAAACAAACTAAACTGGGACTAGACGCAGAGCCAGGCCCAACTGCAGATATCAAGGAAAGGGTAATAATCTGATCAGATGCTTTAACCTTTCCAATTAAAAGAACTATATGGAGTGAAGATGAAGAAAGATTTATAAGAGTTACAAGTCTGATACTCCATCTGGAATATGCCAGCCTATTGGCACACAGCATAAATATGGTCCGAGTAGCAGACCTGCCAGTGAGGGAAGACATAGCAGAAAAAACAAAAGACACCGTAGCTTGTAGGAACAAGACAAGGAGAAGGGAGGGGAAACTTCCAGAGCAGGCAGGTCAGACACCTCCAACAATTCAAGCTCAGGAAGTGCCAGAGATTCAGGTGCAGAGTCAACAAAGAGGGGGAGGAGGTTTCCGAGGAAGACAAAGTGGCAGAGAAGGAGGGCGTTTCCAAGGAGGTAATCGATCAACAGGACAAGGTATCCAAGGTGAAGGATGCTCCATATGTGGTCAGTTCTCACATTGGGCCAGATATTGTCCGCAACACAGGATGCTGCAAGTACCAGAATATCTTCCCACACAATTTTGGCAACAGCAAACACCTGCATATCATCCTACCCAAGTACAGCCGCAAGCACAGGCATACACTCCCATACAGCATCAACAAAAGGGACAATGGAGAGGAGAGCCACGATCAAGACGAAGAACAGATGAAGGCTGCTACAAATGTGGTCAGCTGACACATTGGTCCAGAGAGTGTCCGCAGAACATTGCACCAAACAACGGCCCTCCATGCAGTTACCCCGGGTAGGTTTCCATGATGACAACGGAGGCAGGGGGTCTCAGGGATGTCAAAGACGAACAGCATTGCCAAACATGACCCAAATGCCACTGACACCCTGGTATCAACCACAACAATGAGGAAGCTCAGAGGGCCAGACCACCAGGTGATGCATCCTCAGCCCAAGGGTATTTTGAAATCCAGCTACATTGAGTCATATCTGTCACCACAGGAGGGAGAGGTTGAATGTTATTTAAAGAGATGGTGAGTAGCATATTGCATTTACACATAAAGCATCCACAGATTAGTAGAAGATTAAAACATAGTAGAACATTTAGCAGACTATTTTTGTAATTATGAGAAGGATAGAGAGTACGAGTGATGTTGTTCCCCCACACAGAAAACTATTGTGTCCACACAGCTAGTGAGGTCAAGACGACGGGTTTCCACCCAAAAATATGAAGACGGAAACCTAGTACTCGCCCAAGACGGAGGATCCATACCAAATCCTCCTGTTTACACCGACTGCAGTTCAAGGGGCGGCGATACACCTGACGTGGAGCTGTTGAGACCTAAAAACAGAAACTCGCTTCTGCTGTGGTGAAGTCTGGCTACAAAGGGAGGTGTCCGATAGGGTCGCTTGTCTCAAACCAGTGAAGAAGTCAACAAGAACCCAGCAGAACTAGAGAGTGACTGTTAGCGGGAGAACAGTGACAGAGCGACAGAGACTGGCACAACATTTTCCAGCCAGTACATAGATAGACCCCGTCAGAAGACCGGGGCTGTGTTTAAAGGGGAACTTCATTTATTGTTAGTGGAAGTGTAGTTTTTTTAGTCAAACAATTATG